AGGGCAGGAGGTGGTGGCAAGTCAGAACAGCCACCTACTTAAAACACTAGATTAATGTTAAAATGGAGTCTAATAGGATTGTAGACTGCGAAAACAGTGCCCATCAAATTCCTTACCTCAATTTCATTCGAAGGTGGTGGAAAATAGTCGCCTCACATAGTTAGCCTTCATGTCCTTAGTGAAGAGCACTTTGGCAGTTTAGATGTCTGCACTTGACTTAGGTGCAGCAGTAGGTGAGCCTCATTCATTTGATGAAATCCAAACTATTACTGCGTAGCGTGTTCCAGTCTACTCGTCAGTGATATGCAATCGTCCTACTTTGTCTCAACACTGGGCAGCGATTGTTGCTGTTGAGACAGAGCAACAATACGTGTATGTGCTTGCATATGTGTGCACGTGTGTGCTCGACCACGTTTATATGTTTGTGGGTGTTTATGATGGATTGAAGAGGAAATTGTCAAGGGAGTATCGTTAACCGCATGGTGGTCACACAACCATTGCTGCTGAGATCTGCCCACTCGCAATAACTTGGTACAAATTGAAGCTGTGCAAGGAAGTCTGAATTTTCTCCTCTTTCTTCCCACCTCGTCTTCGTCACTCTCGTCAACATCACCACCGCCATCACCTTGGGAAAGAGATTTGAATAAGCCGTAATGTTCGCATTACATTTATTATTATTTTTTCACAGCAGGTCATGGCAAGATTGTGTACCATGGAAATCAAGTATGCTGAAAGACATGTCAAAACGTGGCGTTTTCACATCACCCGGTTTTTATGCGAAAGTATATTAAAATTGCTCTCAATCTGCTGATGTACAGAGTGAAGACCTTTTTTTCGAATCCAATCAGCTCTCCTTCCTCTCGTGTTTAATTTTATCTGTCAATCTCATTCCTCTGCGAAATGAAACAAAATTTTTCACACAGAACTGAAGCAATTGAAGATGTAATTTGTTAGAATTTCGTGGATGTTTGAGTGCGAATGTATGCAGCAAATGCTGTAGCAATGATTTCTGTGAATAATTGACACCACAAGACTCTGCTTCTGTGGGGTTTGATGGTAGACATCTGTGTGCTTGCAAAAAGCATCCTACAAGATATTGTCCGTTGGGAAAATGACCACTTATTCCCAACTGTCCTTTCCCAAACGTGATTGTCGAATGCTAGTGCTACAAGGAGGTGGAGAACTGCCAGTTGGCGGAATGTAGAGGATGAGGTGAGGCACATCCTCACTTTCCTTATCACGGAGAGATCGCACGCGTCAATTCTGTGCTGTGGTATTGTATTTTGTGCTGTGCAAATTAAGAAGCGGGATTTTTAAGTAGCTTTGGCAGGATAGCTGTCGAAGCCACCGGAGCATTTCAACAACTGTTAAAAAGGCGAGGGCAATTAGTCCAATGCGAATTGATGAGTCAGGTTTTGCCCACAATTGGAAGGTACATTTTTTTGAAAGCTATTTGGAGTGGTGCCTGCATTGAGGTGAACTTGCCAAAGTCCGGCGTCGATGGTGTAACATTGTCAGTGTTAATGTTTGGATTGCTGCGATCCTGATGAGGAGTGTGTATGCCTCGCTCGATTGCTCCTCGGAGTGTTATACCAACCATCAACAATGATGCACTCGTAGGGAATTGTGAGTGACCGATCTGTTAACGAAGAATACGATGTGTGACTCTGTGGCGCGTCGATGTTGGCGACTCACTACCCCAGGTTCTGGCCTCCACGCTGTTGATGATGGGCTGCACTATTTCCATCAGTGTTGCTAACTACGCATTTGGCTTTTATCATTGTAATGCTACAGGCGAGACTAAGATGATTCGCCACACTTATTCTTTTAGGGCAAGCCATATTTACAGCCTTCTTCTGGGGAGCCATCTCGGCAGAATCGTTTATCAAGTTCCTCAATGACGCACCCTTCACCTACGATTACCTTTTGGTAAGAATTTCTCATTTCCTAAATTCTCATCAGTTGTGGTATGGTTTGGGGTCAGTCGAACACCAAGTGAAGTGTAAAAGTGTTTGACTTACCCCATGTGCTCAAAGAGTAGTAATGCGCATGGCTCGCATCGGATGCAGAACACAGTGTAGGCTATGTGCATATTTGCATTTTTTGGCACGGTCGCAAGTGTGCATGGTAGTTTTAATCTCAGCAGGAACGTTCTCCACCAGCTTTGTTGTTTTAAGGTAAAGTATGCAGCTTGTGACGTGTTTTGGTGAAGTTAGTTATCATTAACAGATGCAGGATACATGTCACATATTCGTGACAGAAGGCTCGGTTGGGAATATCGGGACATGACAGATGTTTCTGGTGACAATGATTAGCCGTGGACATTGCAGGAGCTCCGGCTTGCATTTTTGCCTCCTTACAAAGCCGTATTGATGCTGTTGCAATGAGGTATTCATCGGGACTGATGTTATTGATAAAAGCCTAGAGAACGGCAATAGAATTGGAACATCAATAAATTCGTCCTTACTTTGCATGTAATCAGTATCATTTGGCCTAACAGGTCTTAGCCACCAGATTCCTCGTGACACAATCGACGCTACCGCCTCAGGTGTCACCGTCTCGTCTCACTCAGCTGACACAGACGCTGTTCTCCAGCCGACCACATCACCTGTCGGCAGCTTTCGTGAGGATTTACAGTGTCATGCTAGCCTCCCACAACTACGCCTCGTGTCTTGTAGTGTGTGCCGCCCTGGTGGGAGCTGGAGAGGCGGAGCAGCAACTTGCAGATCAACAGGTCTTTTTCCTGGCAAATAATCCTAATTTCTGCTCTGATTTCTCACTTAGCACGTGACTGATTTATCAGTTATTCAAATTACCCAGCTGTTGTAGCTGCATGACGTTCTGCTGTGAACGTTCTGCGGGTGGAGCGCCAGTTGACTAGCTCTTGTGTAATTTGGAAAACTTTGGCCTGAACCAAACTATCCGAACTGTTGGTGCATCATTGTGTTCGTTTATGTAGTAATTATTTAATTCCTCACCAATAACTCCACCAACTTCAAAAACGATGCACGACTTTTATTCATTCATCAAGGAAATAAATGGGAGGATCACAATTGCAAGCCCAAAGGTGGTTTTGAAATAGTGATTCTGAGACACTTGACAATCCGCAACCCGCGATATTGTGGATATCGAACTTGAAACGCACCAACGAGAAAGGAAGGTGGTCCTCTAATACGCTGAGCTTTGTGAACAAAAGTGTGCAACAGACGGAGAAATTCATCTCCCTTGGCAAGTGTGCACATTGTGGAAGTGGACTGCTGCAAGACAGACGAAGAAATGCTCCAATTGAGGATTGTTGTTTGTGTTGACGACAAATGTTGATGGAGAACTTGTGCCCTACCTCCTAACCCATCCATTGCTTGCCTAGCCACGTGGAAGTGACAAAAATGTCGAAGATGGTCCCGAAAAAACCGCAGCTCCAGACGTCCTGCAGTCTAGCTTAGAAAGTCTTCGGTGCCGTATAAAGCACCTGCAGGATATGGTCATCTTCAACCGCTGTCTAGCATCCTTCCGTCGAGGTTACAATCTACCGAGATGGACGCCTCGTGCCTACAGTGTGCGTCACGTCTTTCAACGCGGCTCGGGTCAGTTTGGGTACCCTTTCCTTATTCCTCCTCTATTGTATACTGGGTTCTCAATTTCATGATTTGAGGTTTATTTGGCCGAGTTGTGTGGGTCCTATCGAGGTAGACTTTGGGACAGATATCTATCACAGAGATGTGAGGTGTGTGTGATGGGTGTATGCGTATGAACCCGATGGATGACTGGTGAAGACTGCCAGAGGACAAAGGTGAAGCTGCGTTGTGCAGTCGGTTTTGTCACATGCTTTTATTGGTAATAGTTGACCTTAAGTCTAAACGTAGTCTCATCCGATCAGAAAGGAGTAAGGGCGCAGTTTCCAGAATGCGGGAAAACCTCTGCAGCATTGAAGAGGAGGGTTTTTCTGGGGTAACGGATCAGATATCCTCAGCACACCGTGCCTTTTCTTATTGTAGATCACTTTACTAGCGAATTCGCGCGATGCCTGGCCGGCTCCCAACTGAAAGGCAGTGAAGTGCTTGCAATTTATCGCGGTTTTGTTGCTGAGACTGCCACAAATGAATTTGTGGGTGAGTACGAAGATACTAACGGATTTAATGGTTACTTTTCATTGTTTTTGATTTGGTGAAAGCTGATCCCTCGCACGAACAATTTTGAAATATGGGAGTACTTCAATCCTCATCGGACACTAGGGTTTCCAAAAGTTGTGGTTACTTTGGTATAACCCCTACACCATTCATCCCAACGGTAATCTGTTTACACCTCTTTGTTCTAGGTCCTATGTATGTCTTTGTGGAGCAGTGCCGTTTGTGGGAGCAACTGTTGTAATTATCTGCCTTTATCTACTGATCGGATTAGAAAATTCAGTCATTTTCATAGTTGTCCAAACATCCAACCTATGGGGTACTTGCCTGTTCATTGTGGTATCCATTTGATTGACGTCTACAGGGTGAAGCATGTCTTCAAAATTACGCTTATTTAGGCTAAATGGGTCTCCTTTTACACCTTCAACTTCAAGATATCTGTCGTCAGGAAATGTAGGCAAAGGGAACTTTTGTTTCCAAATTAGCCTAGGAAGAATTTTAGATGCTCATTCTATATTTTGCCTTAAAAGCCGTGGTTTTGAGTAATTTACTAACGAAAACCGGCCTCAAGTTACAAGAACAAACCGGTTACTAACACACTAGCTACTTGGGTCTTGGAGGAAAACAGACCACTATGGACTGTGTCCTACTGTTCTAGTGCGGTAGCAGCACCTGCAATCAAATTACTGCTCAAAGATTTCAAGGTCTGTCGCGCTTCCTCTGACCAAAAACGTCTATGCCTATTCATTCTTCCCATCAAATAACTCGTTTATGACACGATTCGGTTTGACTGAGGGAGAATGTGTGTCACCTG